CTCTTTTCTTCCTTGCTACTTCGAGTATAGCACTTCAGATTACAATCCGTACTTAGGTTAATATCCATATCAAAATATTCCACTTTGACAATGCAAAGGAATATTTTGAGAACCTTTTATCATATTTTGACACCTTTATGGTTATTCACTAGAGCTCTTGTACCTACACTCCACAACAAAATGGGTTGGTGGAAAGAGTTGTCATGCGGGTGAAGTCACTAGAAGCCTTCTTTTTGCACCTCATATTCCAATAAAAATCTGGGGGGATGTTGTTGTTGCTACCACTTATCTAATAAATTGGTAGTAACAACAACCTCTTTCTCCCCCTCTTCCACTTATTAGTAATATGAAAGGGGATAAGGAGTTCAGTGCAAGGGGAGGAAGCAGGAAAGGGGGCCTATAGGCTAGTTGAGGTTTGGGGTCAGTCTTTAGTATGATCATGAAGATTATTAATTGGAATGTAAGGGGGATTAGGAAGTGCCACAAAAAGAGGAGTAATCAAAGAGTTATTGAGGAAGAAGAGACCAGATTTTGTTCTAATCCAAGAATCCAAAATTCAGGAAGTAGATAGGAAGTGGATAAGAAGCATTTGGGGAGAGGAATATTAATTGGAGCTTTGCTCCCTCTTGGGGTGCTTCAGGGGGTATTATAACAATGTAGAGAGAAGAGGCAGCTCAATGTTTGGAAGAATTGGTGGGTAGTTTCTCAGTTTCTATTAAGTTGAAGGACTTGCAGCTTTGCAGGATGGTTTTGAATGGGTTCTCACAAATGTCTACGGGCCAAATTCATATAGAGAAAGGAATAAAATGTGGGAGGAGCTAGGGGATATTAGGGGACTCTGGGAAGGACCTTGGTGTCTTGGGGGTGATTTCAATGTAGTAAGATTTGTGAGTGATACATCTGTGGGTAGACAAAGGACTACGTCAAGCATGAGAAAGTTCAATTCCTTAATTGAAGTTTTTGAGTTGAGAGATTTTCATCTGGGACAATCTTGCTATACTTGGTCAAACCTTCAAAAGACCCTATTCTATCCAAGCTTGATAGGTTTTTAGTCTCACTAGATTAGGAAGAGCATTGGCCAGGATTAGTTGGGAGAAATATCCCTATAATCACCTCAGACCATTGGCCCATCTGTCTGTTTTAGAGAATCAATAGTGGTGGTCCAACTCCATTTAGATTTGAAAATATGTGGCTTACTCACCTGGATTTTAGAGAGAAAGTCAAGGTTTGGTGGAATAGCTTGGATCAATCTCCAATGTGGGAAGGCCAAAGGTTCCTAAAGAAACTCCTATTGTTGAAAAAGGAGATCAGAGATTGGAATTGGGAGAAGTTTGGAAGACTAGAGGAAAAGAAAGCTGTTTTGATTTCCCAGATTGAGGCAACTGATAGCAAAGAGGTAGAAGGATCCTAGGTGAAGGTGACAGAGATGAGATGGTCTTTGAAGAAGGACCTAGGGGAGACTTTATTGAGGGAGGAAATGAGTTGGAAGCAAAAATCAAGAGAGAGGTGGATCAAAGAAGGTGATGGAAATACAACATTTTTCCATACCATTGCAAATGGAAGGAGAAGGAAGAGCCTGATTACTTCTTTAATGTGTGGGGGACAATGAGGTTACAGACCAAAATGAGATTGCTAAAGCATTCTCAGAGCATTTCAGGTCTACTTATAGAAGACCCATAGTTGAGAGGTGGATGGTTGAAGGCATTGATTGGGAGACATTGGGGGAGATAGGAATCCAATTTTTGGAAAGAAGGTTTGAAGAGAGTGAGATTAAGGAAGCAGCTTTTTCTATGAATAGATCAAAAGCAACAGGGCCCGATGGTTTCACAATGGCCTTCTATCAAGAATATTGCTCAGTGTGGTCAATGAATTCTATAGAAGAGGGGTGATAAGTCAGGGTATGAACTCTACCTTTTTAGCACTGATCCCAAAGAAGAATAATGCCAACCAACCAGGGGACTTCAGACCAATAAGTCTAGTCACCAGTATTTACAAGGTGATAGCAAAGGTGCTGTCTTTGAGGATTAAGATTTAAGAAGGTGATCTCCCCACTTGTTTCACAGTCTCAAGGCGCCTTTGTACAAGATAGACAGATTATTGATCAAATCTTAATTGCCAATCAATGTGTGGAGACTCAAAAGAGATTAAAGAGGAAAGGAGTGGCCATCAAATTGGATCTGGAAAAAACCTATGATTTGGTGGATTGGAACTTTTTGATTGATATTATGAGGTGTGGCTTTGGAAATTTGTGGTATAAATGGATTAAGGGCTGTTTACAAAGTAGTCACTACTTAGTCATAGTTAATGGGACGGTGTATGAGTTCTTTGAGGGATTCCGTGGGCTTAGGCAGCTCACCCTAACACAAACAGAATAACTGCTTTAGTTATTGAAAAACATCATACTGCAGCAATGCAGCTGTCCATTGCATGAGCAGAGAAAAAAGCGTTGGTTGTGTGAAATGAGTAGCCTCTCTGGGCTATTCAGGAAAGGGAAAAAACAATACACATTAATACACAAAACACACATGCGCATGTTAAATCAAAATATGTGAAACAGAAAAAGTTAAAATAAATGTTTTGAATAACGTCAATGAGGTATGCACCTTGAGTGGCAAGGCAACTTGGCATGCTCACTGAAGTCATCCTCAAGTGTGAGACAAGGCGTTAGGACTCTAGCACATGGAGAGAACCCTCAGTAGGGCCCTGTTAATCTGCTAAGTTTTACTTATATAGGTTGGCTGATCTCATCGTACCAGGACCAGGTTCGACAATTCAAAGTCTGTGAAATCCTCCTAGGTGAAGTTTTGTGTTGGTGATATTGATTAGAATCTTTCTTCTCTTGTAAATGTGGCTTTGTGGTGGGAGCTTGCATGGTTGTGGTCATGTACTCTTTGGGCATTTGGTGCCACTGTATCCCTTCCATTGAAGGCATAAAAATCTGTATAATATTGGAAAGTCAAATCATCTTGAAAGAAGATGGCTTGACAATTGGGCTGTTAAAAAAGATGGCCGTATCATATTTTTCAGAGCATCCATAGCTTGTGTGTCATGTTCATTGCTCTATGCATTGATATCAATTATCATAGACCAGTTCATTATCATCATCAAAGCCTATATGCGGTTAGCTTTATAAATCCTGTTTCACCATTCAATTCTATTCAGTACCATATCCATTGTTAAATTATGAGTGCATTTTTCTGTCTTTAGGTTGAATCAAGGAAAAAAAATCCAATGCAATGGATCTTTACTTACGAATCCTGATGATCCCTTGTTTTCTATTCTAGTTGTAAATTATCACTTACAATAGGCATGCTAATTTGTAACTAATGATTGGAATAAGCTGTAGTTAGCTTCAACTCACCTGTTTTATTGTTGAAGGAAAGAAAAAAAAACTAATACATGGATCTTTCCTTACAAATCTTGTTGACCCTTCATTGTCTATTCTAGCTCTAAATTATCACTTATAACAGGCACGCTAATTTGTAACTAATGATTGGAATAAGCTGTAGTTGTCTTCAACTCATCTGTTTCATTGTCGAAGGAAAGAAAAAAATCCAATACATGGATCTTTCCTTATGAGTCCTTATGACCCCTTGTTTTCTATTCTAGTGTAAATGATCACTTATAATAGCGTGCTAATTTGTAACTAATGAGTAATGAATGGATGACTATTTTAAAAAAAAATCCACTTCCAGTTAGCATAACCCCTTGTTTCATTAGTGGGTTTGTTTAAATAGCTTCTGTCAAAGGTTTTAGCTTTTGTATAAAGTAATGTGCTGGTTAATGTGGAAAAATGGTTGGACAACTGAAGGTCTTTCAGTCTTACATCTTGTGGAAATAGCCTACTTTGTTAAACTCATTTGCTTTGCATTTACTTGCAGTTCCTAGGAACTTCAGATTATTAGAAGAACTGGAAAGGGGGGAGAAAGGCATTGGAGATGGAACTGTTAGCTATGGGATGGATGATGGAGATGACATTTATATGCGATCCTGGACAGGAACCATAATTGGGCCTCACAATGTACTTTAAATATTATTTATTTGTTTTGCTTTCACCTATATTTGAAGTCTCTCAATTGGTTACTGATTATCCTTGTTTTGCAGTCTGTTCACGAAGGGCGCATCTATCAACTGAAATTGTACTGTGACATGGATTATCCTGAGAAGCCTCCATTTGTTAGGTTTCATTCACGGATAAACATGACTTGTGTCAACCCTGAGACAGGAGGGGTAAAACAGAAATTTTTTTTTTTTTGTGGGAAGTATTTTTTTTGTCTGTATACAAGCAACACATGGCGTGGGCTAACTTTGAAAGTGGCTTGTAATGGTCTGCAGGTTGAGCCAAAGAAATTTGGTTTGCTAGAAAATTGGCAGCGGCAGTACACAATGGAAGACATCTTGACACAGTTAAAGAAGGAAATGGCAAGCCCCCACAACCGGAAGCTGGCGCAGCCCCCAGATGGTACTCTCTTCTAGAGTTCTAGGTCATACAATCTTCATTTATGGACTGGTGGAGCTTGGTACTCAAATTATTCATTCCCTTATCCAAATGGTTAGAAATTTCAGCAAGTCTTGTCAAAGGAATTGTTACTATTGTCTTGACCTTGTGTATATTTAGATTGAGAATATGCTTTATTGTATTTATATTTCATCTCTTCTTGAAACACTGGCATGTGGCCTCATGTGTATAGAACACTGGTGTATTCTCTCCTGACTGATTACATAGCAAGTGATACACGGCGGTGTGTGAGCAGAAGATCCTGAGTGAGAAGCAGGTAGGTAAGAGGAAAGTTTCTAATTTTATAATTACAATTGAATTTTAATTTTTAAAATTCAGATGAAATATACACGGTGGTCTTTGGTTCGATCCCTGCCCCTTACCTGTAGTGCTTATTATTTGGAAGTACGAGGGATTCGTAACTGGATCTGATAAGACCAAGAGCTGCGGCAAACCAAGGCCTGTGCACGGGAATAGCCAGCTTGCATACCAAGTTTACAAGAAAAGGGAGAAGCCACGTCAGCAAGAATGTAGTTCAAGTGGCTGACTTTTAGAACAGAATAACAGTCTTACAACAAGCTGTAACCATCTTTTAACAGAACAAGCTGTAACCATCTTGTAACAGACTGCAACTGTAAACAACTTACCTGTCTATAAAAACCCGAAGAAGAAATAAAGAGGGGGAATTCCATTCGAACAAATCTCTCTCTCTCTCTCCCTCTGAATCCTCTTTTCTCCCCCTCTCAGTTTCCCTTCAGGGTGGCATTGGTAGTAATGCATCTGGACGGAGATGCCATCCTCTGGTATCAATGGTACCTGATGAGGGTGGATTTGGCCCTCCAATGATATTGTGACACATGGCAGCTTGACACCTATGCAGGTCGGCACCTCACAGGCAGCTCGACACCTGGTCAGCCCGGCACCTCATAGGCAGCTTGCCACCTGGTCAGCTCGGCACCTTATAAGCAGCTTGACACTATAGTCAGTTCCCCACCTAGCCTGCCCAGCTCGATTCCGCTCGGCAGCCAAAGTTCTCCACTTCGGCCTGAGTCATCGGCCACTTGGAAGCAGACCAAATGACGAGGTACTTAGCCAAAAAATCGATTCATCAATTGGCACCGTCTATGGGAAACACTACAAAAAGCTAAGTTCTCATCCTCCAAAAGGCTAAGTCCTCTTCTTCCAAAAAGCTAAGTTCTCACCTTTTAGAAACTAAAAGCTCTCACTTTCTAGTTTCCAGTTTTTATGAACTCAAAGATTATGTAAGAAGTTGATGGCCAACAGACTAAGTAGCTTTACTAACTTTATTTCAGCTCAGATAAAGCCTCATCAGTCCTTTTCATGAGGTACCCTCTACAAAGGTGAGCTCTTCGTGGCTTCTGCGGGAGTAGGCGACCAATAGACTGCATGGACGCCTCTGCCGGTCGAGCCTTCCAAGGCTCCCGTGCGAGCTGGTGACCTAAAGTCAGTAGTGCTACCCCTGTAGCTCGAGCTCCTAGTAGCTTCTTGTAGGAGTGGATAACCGACGTCATTAACGAGGCTGATGCAGCGTAGTCGTAGCTCTAAGGCTCCGACCTGGCGGCCTGGCCCAGGCGCGACTTGGGGACCCAGCCCAGGTGTGACCTAGCAGCCTGGCCCAGGCGCGACCTGGCGGCTTGGCACAAGCACTAACCTGGCGGTCTAGCCCAAACGCGAGCTGGCAGCCTGGCACAGGCGTGAGTTGGCAGCCTAGCATAGGCGTGACCTGGCGGCTTAGCCCTGGCGCAAGCTGGCAACCTGTAGGTCGGGCTCCTAGTAGCTTCTTGTAGGAGTGGATAACCGGCGTCACTAACGAGGCTGATGCAGCGTAGTCGTAGCTCTAAGGTGTCGACCTGGCAGCCCGGCCCAGGCGCGACCTGGGGGCCTAGCCCAGGCATGACCTAGCGGCCTAGCCCAGGTGCAACCTGGCGGCTTGGCACAAGCACTAACTTGGCGGTCTGGCTCAGGCGCGACCTGGCAGCCTGGCCCAGGCGTGAGTTGGCAGCCTGGCACAGGCGTGACCTGGTGGCTTAGCCCTAGCGCAAGCTGGCAGCCTGGCCCAGGTGCGGCCTGGCGGCCTGGCCTAGGCGCGAACTGGCGAGCTGATAAAAGACTTCGGCACCACATAAGACCCAGTCGCCTCTTCGGCATGGGAAAAATCAAAGATCAAGGAGAGTGGACTACGAGTCGCTCCTAGATCCTACGGGCTAAGGTGCCGAACTGGCAAAGACTTCGGCACCACATAAGACCCAGTCGCCTCTTCGGCATGGGCAAGCTCAAGGAGAGTGGACTACGAGTCGCTCCCAGAGCCTAAGGGCCAAAATACCGAATTAGTGAAGACCTCCTCACCACATAAGACCCAGTCGCCTCTTCGGCATGGGCAAAATCAAGGAGCAAATTGCGAGCCGCTCCCAGAGCCTAAGGAATTGAATCGACGCTTACGAGCTCATCGAATTATTCATTTCGAGCCAAAAGGAGAAATTTACTCCCTTCGCCGAGTTACTTTCAGCTCGGGAGTGGGGGCAAATGATGAGGGCGGATTTGGCCTTCCAATGATATTGTGACACATGGTAGCTCGGCACTTAGGTAGCTCGACACCTCACAGGCAGCTCGACACCTCACAGGCAGCTTGGCACCTCACAGGCAGCCTGGCACCTCACAGGCAGCTCCGCACCTCACAACTAGCTCGCCACCTGGTCAGCTTGACACCTCATAGGCAGCTCGACACTATAGTCAGCTCGCCACCTAGCCTGCACAGCTCGATTCCGCTCAACAGCCAAAGTTCTCCACTTCGGCCTGAGTCATCGGCCACTTGGAAGCAGATCAAATGACGAGATACTTAGCCAAAAAATCGATATATCAATAAAAATCGATTCATCAGTACCATCGAGGGCATCCCCATATTTTATGGCTCGACTTCATGGATGCTCTATGCATCTGATTTGGGGCTTCCAATTATGAAGATTTTGATGAGAGTCTTGCGAAGATTAAACAAGTAGGAAGTGTTTGTGACTACCAATTGGAGTTTGAACGTTTATCGTTAAGAGTCCAAGGGTGGTTGGAGCTTTTGTGGGAGGACTCAAGGAAGAAATCTGGTTGGAGGTCAAGGCGATGCACCCAACAACGATAATGGCCGTGGCAGCCAGCCCACACCCAAGAAGAAAAGATAGCTCGAGCCCGACGTCTGAACAGGCCCTGGCAGCAAATGAACAAATCATTTACTACACCAAGACTAGAAGGGACGGGGTCTAGTAAAGATGACAGCATATTAGGTAGACCACCAGGTAACTTAGGCTCGAGTCCCGTTATAACATTCAAGAAATTAACATGGGCAGAAATGTAAAATCGTCGAGACAAAGGTCTCTGCTACAACTGTGAAGAAAAGTTTGTCCCTTGTCATAGATGCAAAACTCAACAAGCCTTCCTGTTATAGACTGAGGAGGAATAGGAGGATCAACAACCGGAAGAAGGATGGTCAACTGAAGAACACTAGGTTGAGACCATACAACTAGAAATATCGCTACAGGCCTTTGCAGGGTTCTCATCACCCCAAACCATGAGGGTGACGGGTTTAGTTTGGGGTTGCCAGGTGTCTATCCTAAATGACAATGGTAGCACTCTAAACTTTGTAACCACTATGCTTGTCAGACGATTAGGATTGCCAATTCAGTCCACAGCCTCATTTAAGGTCCATGTGGCAAATAGGACCTCACTCCAATGCGATGGAATTTGCACAGACATTTGGTTACGATCCAAGATCAACAATTTCGGGTTGATTTGTATCCATTGGAGTTAAGTGGGGCCGACATTGTATTGGGAATTCAATGGTTGCAGCAACTTGGGCCTGTTCTATGCAACTAGGCCCGTTTATCTATGGATTTCATGATAGAAGGGTCAAGAGCACATTTGCAAGGCCACTCAACTAGCCGAGCCAATCCAGTAAGCTTGGCATCCATGTTGAAAGAAGCACGAGACCCGAATCTGCTCATCATCTGGGGATCAAATCATACAGGCCAACACTATCTCAGGCCCAGGATACAACAACTCAAGCTGAATACAAATAGCAGCTCCGCAACATCCTCTAGCAATATGCTGCAGTTTTCAAGGAGTCAACGGACCACCTCCAACAAGGAATCATGACCACAGAATCCCACTATTGCCAGATGCGCCTCCTACCAATGTAAGGCCCTACGGTTACCCTTATTTTCAAAAACAAGAAATTGAAAGGCAGGTTCAAGAACTGTTTTATTCAACCCAGCCACAACCCATTTTCTTCACCTGTTCTTCTTGTCAAAAAGAAAGACGGGACATGGCGATTTTGTGTAGATTATAGGGCACTTAATAATATTACGGTTAAGAACCGCTTTCCAATTCCAATAATAAGTGAGCTACTGGATGAACTCAAGACTGTAAGAATTTTTTCAAAGTTGGATTTACGGGCTGGATACCATCAGATTAGAGTCCATGAAAGTGACATTCCAAAAACGGCCTTCCGGACTCATGATGGCTACTATGAGTTCTGGGTTATGCCATTTGGTCTCACAAATGCCTCGGCTACCTTCCAAGCCTTAATGAACGACTTGTTCAGGCCACATTTACGTCGTTTCATATTAGTCTTTTTTTCTGACATTTTGGTACAGCTCCACATGGGCCCAACATTTAGTGGATTTGCAGATTACCCTAGACATTCTGTTACAAAATCAACTGTATGCCAAAGAATCGAAGTGCGCCTTTGGGCAGGGCCGTGTACACTATTTGGGCCATGTGGTGGAAGACGGAAGGGTCTCAGCAGATCTAGACAAGATAGCTGCCGTCTAATAGTGGCCAATGCCACGTAACACCAAGGAACTTTGGGCATTAGGACTCATAGGGTACTACCGACGCTTCATTAAAAGATATGGAATAATTGCAGCACCACTAACAGCCCTTCTAAAGAAGGACTCCTTCAGCTGGGACAACAAAGCCCAAGTAGCATTTGAAGCCTTAAGAGTAGCGGTGTCATCCCCACCAGCTCTAGTCTTATCGGATTTCAACAAACCATTTGTGGTTGAGTGCAATGCATCGGGATTGGGTGTGGGAGCAGTGCTGATGCAAGATGGTCAGCCCCTTGCCTTCTTCAGTAAGGCATCATCCACCACACAAAACCACTCTTCAGTCTACAATCGAGAATTGATGGCAGTTGTATTAGCAGTTCAACATTGGCGCTCCTACCTTCCAGGCCGTAAGTTTGTAATTAAGAC